CCGAAATATGATACATCAAATCCATATCTTCAATGATACTAGGGTACAAAATCTCTCGACCTAGTGGGGTTGCTACGACCTCGATCTTCAAGAACCTGACGCCCATACTCGAAAAGTCCAAATATTAAGCCCATCTCCATGGGCATTTGAATCATCTCGCATTATGTCCATCGGTAGATGTTCGTATGTAGATGTATTGCGGTAGGAAGAGCGAGAAGATGAATGTTCGGGAATGGGGATTGGGATGGATGGAGCGGGGGGTTTTGAGGGTGGTATTGGTATTAGTAGTAAAGTTGGAGTTGGAGAGGGAAGTGGTGATGTGGATGGAAAACGCGACGATGGGGGTGGAGGTAGAGTACAGAGAGGTGATGCAAGTGCAAGTGGAAATGGAAAGGGAAAGGGAAAGGGAAAAGCAAAAGGAAGTGTGAGGTTTGCGGATGATGCTTAGACGGGGGTTTTGGGGATGATGATCATGGGATGCTCTATCTAATATTTGATATGATAGGGACTGGACTAGACTGGACTGGAATTGGCTTTTTTATAATTTTATGATTTTATATGCTTTGATTGATTGATTGATGTATTAGTATCAGTATTAGTATTAAAGTAGTTTTATGGTTTTTTATATAGTTATATGGTTACTGTAGTATTACGTATTAGGTATCATGTGTTAGATAGATTTATTATAAGGAGCAAACATGATTGATCTCTAACTCTCTACTTATCATTCATTCATTCCATTCCATTTCATTTCAATATACATTGTTCTTCTATTCGATCGCTCGTTACTTGTACATAAGATATATACATACATACAATAATAAATGAACATATTTCCTTTCTTTTCCTTTCCCTTTCCTTTCCTGTCCTTTCTTTTCACACATAGAAGCTGTGAAGAGTTTTGATTCCTGCCTGCCTATCTTCTACTCTTTTCCCCTCCCCCCAGATTTCTTTCATATCGTATCTCTCTTCTTCTTCCTCTTCCTACTTCTCCCGCAATTCAATTCAATTCATTCATTTCAATTCTAAAATAAAAGTCGTAAGAGTGGCGTAGAGTAGTTATGCTATGATCATCCGAATTATTCAGATGAGGCAAAAATATATAGATTTTTGGAGTTTGATTTCGATTTCGATTTTCGTTAATACAATGTTACAAGTGAACACACTTGTTGGTTCACCGGTGGGTTCTTTTGCTTCTTGGAACTCTTGATTAGTCTGGAGTTTTGCTTTTTGGGTTGAATTTGGGTTTGAGTTCTGGTATGATGTGAAATGTGATTTGATGTGATGTGATGTACAAGAGGATGGTGATGGATGGATAAATGTGTGTGTGTGATTGTTGGGTATGTTGTTGACCCACAAGGGATGGCTTGCCTTAGGAAGATGAGGACGAGGACGCTATGTTACAGTATGGTGATGAAATAGATAAGAGGGAGAAATAGACATCTATAGACATCTATGAGCCTAGAGTCGAAATGAGAAATGGAGAGATGAGAAGATTCTCATATATAATCTCTTCCGCTCTTCTGCAACTCAATGAGTCTCCAACCTCTCGTCTCGGGATTATTAACATCTTCTGCTACTCTCGTAACACCAATTGCATAGGTGACCAATTGAACCTTATCTTCCATGCCGGCGGCTAGTTGATTCGTCTTCGCGTTTCTATATACGTGGACTTCCTGTGTTCTGCATGTAATGATGAAGACTGGGATATCATTATCTAACATCCTTGCAGATAGGACTTCAACATGTCTGATATCGAGAATGCGACCATCGGATTTGAGACCAGCGGTTGTATATTGCTTGGAAAGGGCATCGTAGACGGAGAATTGAGCTGCTGAGAGCCAGAGTTTGAGGGTTTCAGTATCGCCTTTCACGTAGGCGTCTAGGACTTCAGGGAGGATGTATTCGCGCATTTCGCGAAGGAAAGGTTCCATTTGGAAGGAGGGATCCATTTCACGAAATTTCTTGATTACTTGGGCGGTTTCGTTTTCGGCGAAGAATCCGGCGACTCGGTCGGATATGCTACGGGCGGTGGAGATTAAGGGATTTTCAGATTCATTGTAGACGGTTTTCATGGAGAATAAAGATTGCATGAGTCTATTTGAGTCACGGAAATCTCTCCAGGCCTCCTTGTATGCGGAGTCTTTGTGTACGGTAACGTTTGTGCCGGCGCTGTACTTGTTAACTGCGAACTTTCATGGATTATGTATCACTTACTTCGGGTCTTCTACAGGAACCTCCTTGCTTTTGCCAGTGGTTCCTTCTTCTAATTCCCGTAATTCTCTTGCTTTCCGTCTCTCTTCCTTCTCCACCCACCCTCCGTACCTCGAACTACTTCCATCATCAATCACGTTCTTGACATTCTTATATGCCTCTGTCTGTCGAATTGGTTGCGTCGCCTTGTCAAGTACATTGGCTGTAGCATTGACGGTAGTTCTCACTCCCTTTACAACAGGAGTTTCCCAAGTCCAGGCAGCTCCCTTACCTACCGCACCTGCAGTGGTCTTTAAAACTTTGCCAGTTGTCGAAGATACAGCTCCAGTCGTAGTTTCGAAAAGCTTGTCTAGCACGCTTGACATTTTCGTTCTCTGTGAATTGATGTGCGCCCTCTGCCAACTGTTTGGTAGATTCATTCCATTCTTTGGATGCCTTGAATTCGCTCTGCAAGGTTTCAGTGAAGACTTGCCATGGAGTTTTGTCTCCGTGGGGTGGTGGGGGAGGAGGGGCCTCTTTTGAACCCTCCTTTTTGCCTTCGCTGCCTTCGCTACCTTCACCCTCTTCCTTGGTTTTTTCGTCCCCGGAAGTAGAATCTGAGTCCTTAGAGGACTTTTCCTTGTTAGCATCTTCCTCTGCACCCTCCTCCTTCGCGGCTGGATCTGCTGGCTTTGCCTTCTCTTCTTTGCCTAATCTTGAGCTTTCATGGAAATGCCGCGAGGATACTGGATATACTGCAAACCGAATTTCCTCAGGTAAGAACCGCGATCGCAAAAGCGCGGGATATGTAAGATTCGCAGGTCTGGAAGAGCCCACTGTAGAAAACTGTAAGTTTCGACTTTGCTGAACTATCTGGCTGGGGAGAGTGAAAATATTGGATGAAGGTCTCGCAATTGAGGACAGAGACACCTGTCTACTCGTGGGCGTCCTGGCCACTGCAGTTCGTAGCCCGTTCATATTGACCAGAAGCAGAGTGTAATTATTAAAAAATTATTTCAAAATATATGAGCCTTGAAATAAATTTGATTTGGCAGGAGTATCATGGCGGCGATTTGAACATTTTCTCCGATCGACAAAATTTCAAGGGTGGAAAGCGAACGGAACGGAACAACCCAGCCGGAATTCAACTTTCTTCTAGATTTTGATACCCAAGCCATTGATACTGCAGGATTGAGTCCCCGAAACCGATATTCCTTCAATCATGAGTCGAACTCTTTCACGGCGAGTTTTGACTCAATCGCCTCTCTCCTCCATCGCCGAATTTGCGAATATCCACACATTACCCCTCCGATGTTCGCGACCCTTTTCAAGCACATCAAATCAGAGAGCCGAAGGCGACGATCCCCTTTCCAACTATGTTCCTCATAATTCCTCAACATTGAGGTACGGTGGTGCCTCGGGCGCTATAGCTAGAGCCAGTGCCGCCAGATCCGCGTCGCTCAATCCAAAAGCTACTAGATCCTCGGCCGCAGGTGGGGGAGGCATAGCAAATATATTCCAAGGTATGATGGAAGTAAGCAAGGAGAAGAAGGGAGCCTTTCAAAATACATCAGTGCCTAAGGATGGCACATTGATTGGGGACCGAATTGTAGAGGACGAACCGCATCATTTTCACGTTTACGCCACGAGACATAATACTCATATTACACTTACAAGACCAAATCGAGAACCGATCATCTCCGTATCTTGCGGAAACATTGGGTTCAGACATTCGGGAAGGAAACATTATGATTCGGCTTTCCAATTGGCTGCATTTGTGATGTCGAGGATTCACGAGAGAGCTATTGGTCGAGACATCCAGAAATTGGAACTGGTTCTAAGAGGATTTGGTGCGGGAAGAGAGGCTGTTACTAAGGCTCTTTTGGGTACGGAAGGTAGATGGTTGAGAGGGAAGGTTGTCAAAGTCACCGATGCTACCAGGTTGAAGTTTGGTGGTACGAGAAGTAAGAAGCCAAGGAGATTGGGTTAAACGGGGAATTATGGTGGTAGAATGGACGCTGTGCATTTCTGCAAACGGTAGATGAATCTGTACAATAGGAGAATCATAGCATCATAAATGGTATCATAAAATGGACGCTTGACGCCAGTCCTTCCTTCCCATCCCATCCCTTGCCCATTGCCGAAACGCCTCAAATAACCAATAAGAATACTATGTCCTCCATCCCAAGTGCAATCTATCTCCTTGCTGTAGGTGCTCTCTCCGAGGGTGGAACAATCCTGCCTGATGTATCTCTGACATCTTTTCCTTTTCCCTTTTTGGCCTGAAAGTCCTCATCGCAGCTCCATTCTGTCTCATCGTCGATCAAATCTGGTCGGCCATCATCCATGCTGTGTCTTGTGCCACCCAGCAGTGCTCGCTCGTCATTGTCATCATCGATAAGGTGTCCATCTGCTGTTTCGTAATCTGGCGGGGTAATCCATTCTTTTGGGACCATACAAGGTAACGCGACTCCAATGCTAGCAGCTCGATTTAACCATGCCGGCCCAGACTGACCAGTAAGTCTCTCGCACATCCATGCTGTAAAGTGATTGCAGTTTCTGGTGAGGAGATTGTACGACGTGCCTTGGAAGATTTCTGAAGCTTCCATAATAACAGCATCGATTTCAGCTTGAGGAGAAAAGGTAAGTCCCTGAACAATTTCGCATCTGAAAGTTCCTCCAGGTGGTTCCAGTCTTGGTGTTTGCCAAAATACACCCGTTTGTCCCTTTCTATCATGTCCCCCAAATGCATATTCCTTGCCATTTATAACGATTCCGCTGTGGAGTAGTGAAGTACCAAATTTCCAAAGGACTGAAGAAAGTTTGCCTGCCTAATCGTGAAATTTACGTCAGCAACCACCGGGCGCATTCAAACGATAATCTTAATGAGTGATTTCTTGGGACTTACAGGAAGTAGATCATAAATATTGATACGTATTTCTGTCTTTTGAAGGGAGAGAGTCGATCTTTGACTCTGGGAGGATATTCTGGAGCTCTTCTTGGTAGAGGAAGAAGACATGATTGATATTGTTTGAATTAGATAACTGATGGAATCAAAGAAAGTCGATTGTTTGTGCGCGAAGTCACCAATAAATACCTAAGGGTACTGGTATTTGATAGATGAGTTGTTTTGTACCACAATAAATTGTTCGTACTCAGCTCGTAAAACCCCCTATTATTTTTATATTCAAAATGAATCCGAATCAGATTCAAATTATAACATTGTTGAAAGGTTCTGTTTGCATAGTGTTGAGGTAACACTTGTCTGAGAGGAGGTAGGAGGTACGAGGTACATCCGCAGTAGGCTGTAGATCCGTCCATATCATCATAATCAATAATCTAATCACAGCCTTACCTGGCCAAGTCTGGCCGTCCGTTCGCGTAAACAATTGAAGTCAGCCCCACCCAGAGTTTGATCAACCAGTGAGAGCGCTCCACTGAGGCTAGAGCAATCTTCCATTCCAATCCTTCCATTCTAATGATAGACACTCTTCTTTTGATCCCCGAATAATGCCAATCAAATCAAAATTGTATCACATGACAACATGATCCCTCCACTTGCCTAATTGAGCTCTTTCACCCAAATTTCCAGGGCAGAAACTTTCAAACGAAGATTTTTTTTCGAGTAATTCAATTCGTTCTTTCCATTCCCCCTCCCACCCCCAAATTCTTTCATTTCGCGGTCCGCTACAAGGCTGGCTGCATTTTATCCCACCATCACAACGTCTCACTTACTTCTCAAACGTATCTTCTCTTCTTTTCAACCCACATCGTACTCTCCAGCAGCAACCTCTGCTTTTGTAAGCAATAACGAGAGCCTACTTAACTGTACGGTTCTATTTATAACCCAAAAGAGATCCTACGCAAAAAAGAAGAGCAGAATGCCTCCAAAGAAGGTCGTCGAGGAGAAGAAGGTGTTGCTGGGCAGACCTGGTAACAACTTGAAGAGTGGAATTGTATTTCTCTCTTCATTCTAGTTGTCTAAGACATGAACTGACTCCAAAAATAGGTCGGTCTTGCAAATGTCGGCAAGTCAACACTCTTTCAAGCTATTACCAAGTGCTCGCTCGGTAACCCCGCGGTAAGTTTCAGAGGCCCGAGTTCAAGATTTATATTATCAAACCTAACGCTAACGTCAACAAGAACTTTCCTTTTGCAACTATCGATCCAGAAGAATCTCGTGTCATTGTGCCGGATGACAGATACGACTGGCTTTGCGAGAAGTACAATCCTAAATCTAGAGTTCCAGCACATCTTACTATTTACGACATCGCCGGTTTAACTAGAGGTGCATCAAAGGGTGAAGGTCTTGGAAACGCTTTCTTATCGCATATCCGTGCTGTTGATGCTATCTTCCAAGTCGTCCGTTGTTTCGATGATGCCGAGATTATTCACATTGAAGGAGATGTTGACCCTGTCCGAGATTTGACTATTATCAGCGATGAACTTCGTATCAAAGATATTGAGTTTGTTGAGAAGGCACTGGAGGCCCAGAAAAAGTTGACTCGAAGAGGTGGTCAATCCCTTGAGATGAAAAAGCTCAAGGAGGACGAAGCCACCATCGAAAAGGTTTTGGCTATGCTTAACGATGGAAAGGATGTCCGAAAGGGTAACTGGTCACCAAAAGAGGTATGTGTTCAAATTTTCATCAACGTCTCCCTAATTTCTAAATGATGACAAAAGGCCATGAGGCCTGATAATCCCAGCTCGTCGAGTGCCTCACAATAAACGCAGAGTGCATAGTGAGAGAAAAAACCTGTTCTGATATTTCGATAATCCACTACATTTTTGAAAGATTTGTTTTAAGCTATATACTTACTTATTTCTTCACAGATCGAATGTATTAATCCTCTCTTTCTTTTGACTGCCAAGCCAGTCGTCTACCTCATTAACTTGAGTGAGAAGGATTACATCCGAAAGAAGAACAAGCATTTGGCAAAGGTTATGGAATGGATCAAGGAAAATGCAGCTGGCGATCCAATCATGCCAATCTCCATCTGCCTTGAGGAGCGATTGACTCAATTTGCTACTGAAGCCGAAGCTAAAGAGGAACTGAAGACTTTGGGTGTTGAATCCGCTTTACCTAAGATTATTACCGCCATGAGAAAGGTTTTGGATCTTGGAAGTTTCTTCACTACAGGTACAGATGAAGTCCGTCAATGGACTATCAGAAATGGCACCAAAGCACCACAAGCTGCAGGAGTCATCCACGGTGACTTCGAAAAGACATTTATTCAAGCTATCGTATACAACTTCAGCGTATTGAAAGAGTTTAACGGAGATGAAGCTGAGATTAAAGCCAAGGGAAAGGTTATGACTAAGGGTAAAGATTACGTTGTTGAAGATGGAGGTAAGGAGATCATGTTCTACTTTCGTCTTGAGTTATCACTAATCGTGTGTAGATATCTTATTGATCAAAGCCGGTGCTGCAAAGGGATAGATGCATTATATCAAAATACCAATTCAATGAAGTTATGTCAATATTTGAGTTTTAAATTTCTCATGGCTAGCATGTGACTTTGCCGTGTTGTTTGTGGCTCCATTCCACGCTACTACAATCATGATGTCGTATTTTATACCTGGAGGACTGCCAGGTAGTATTATCCACCAGCATATATAAGTCGGCCGTAAGGTGCTATTTCTGTTATCATGGCTCTGTAGTCCTAATCCAAATGATGCCAGAAACGTTCGTACTCTCAATAAATTAATTATTAATTAGCTCAGGTGACTTTGAATTTCCTGTTGAATGGAGTTTAGATGAGTCTCTAGCTCCGATTGGCTATTGGATGAGCCGCACTACATTGCTCCATGGATAACTTCTAGGTAGGTAGCACTCTATGAAGGTTGCTTTACTCCTATTTGAGTGATGAAAATTAGTAGGCTGAAGTCTTAGGTGTACGACCACAAGACGTAAGTTGATATTGGATATTGTGTTGGTGATTGTTTATATTAGAACTAGACTCCAAGGGACAAACTTGAGCACCATTCAAGCTTATTAGGTGATTACATATATTGATTTATTTTCTCATAGTTTTGTCTTTCTTATATTCCCATTCACTTGTAATTCTCAACTTCATGGAGGTCAAAAAAGTGCATATAAGGTCTGTATTTCCCACCATAGATACTTGTAACCCCACCATCTAAATTGGCCACTAGAACCTTCCATTCATACCTAGCCACATACGAGCTTGAATAATACCTAGTAGACAAACATACAGATCACAGGAATTATTACATACATCTTCTGTATCTATATTATACTCGAATCCATTCCTTTTGAATTATATTTCGAGTCAAACATATTGCCCATCATGGCAACTACTAAACAACGTCTCGCACTCTCCATCATCGATTTCCTCTCTACCTCCCTCACCGATGGTATCCTCAACGAAGAAGAACGCGAGTCCATCGAAATCGCCCAAAACTGTATTTCCGAGTCCTTCAAAGTCGATCCTACAGATGCCACCCCCAAAGATTCTCAAAACCTTCTCCAAATTTACAGTGTCTATGAAAAATTAAGACAATCTCAAGCAGCAGCTGCTCCTCCCAAACCTGCCAATGAAACCCCAACTGGCAAGCAACCTAGCGAGGAACAAAAGAAAGAAGCCGAAGGGTTAAAGAGTCAAGGAAATGCAGCTATGGCTAAGAAAGATTACAAGAAAGCGATTGATTTATACTCGCAAGCTTTGGCTATCATACCCGGTAACCCAATTTTCTTGAGTAATCGCGCAGCTGCATACTCAGCATCTAAGGATCATGAATCTGCAAAGGCGGATGCGGAGGCAGCAGTTGATGCTGATCCTAAATATACAAAGGCATGGTCTAGATTGGGACTTGCGAGATTTGCAATGGGAGATGCGAAGGGTTCAATGGAGGCTTATGAGAAGGGAATTGAGTATGAAGGAAATGGAGGAAGTGATGCTATGAAGAAGGGATATGAGACAGCGAAGAAGAGAGTGCAGGAATTGGAAGCTGGTGGATTAGATGAGGACGAGGTTGCTGAGAGAGGTGCTCCTGGTGGTGCAGGTGGTATGCCTGATTTGGCTAGTTTGGCGGGTATGTTTGGTGGTGGAGCTGGTGGTGGTGGTGGAATGCCTGATTTGAGCTCGATTATGAGTAATCCTATGTTTGCGAGCATGGCTCAAAACTTGATGAGTAACCCGGATGCGTTGAATAGTATTATGAGTAATCCTAGGATACGCGAGATGGCTAATCAATTTGGTGGTGGTGGAGCTGGGGGTAATGGAGGTGGAATGCCGGATCTTTCAAGTTTGATGAATGATCCTTCTATTGCTGAGATGTAAGTCTTGTCTTTTTATAGCAATCTTTTATATGGTATTTATACTAATATTATCAAACAGGGCAAGAAACTTGGGTGGTGCAGGTAGAGGTGCAGGTGCTGGACGTGGTGCTCCTCAATAGACGAATGACTTTGTGATTAGCATGTTAACGATTCCCTTGAGAGCACATTTGGTTCGTTGTTTCATGACGATTTGTTACGAGAGGATGGATAGATACGTAGTCATTGCAACAAATATCATATATCCTAATTAGTATCTTACACTGGTAATAAAAATATGTGTTTCATGAATTGCATGGGAGATTTATGTGTTGTTATAATTGTATGATGTTGTGATTTTGTATACATCTCTACAAAGTGGGAACTCGGAATCAGTTCCGGGAGCTTGGCTTTACTTGAAGAGTAGATTCAAATAAGATTACAAAATTATAATGATGAAATGCAAAATAAAGAAGAAGAAGTAGAAGAAAAGAATATAAAGATTTTTATATTTATAAATATATTTATATAAAATTCCTTCTCTCCCTCCTCCTCGTCACCCTATCACCTTCAAATACTCAAATACTATTAATTTTACCATCTCACTATCAATCATCAACTACCAAACTCAGTCTAATACTCAATACTCAATGTAATACTCAATACTCAATCCAATCCTCATTACTCAATCTAATCCTCAATCCAAATCAACTCTAAATAATCTCCTACAAGAAACTTTGAATATAAACCCTACCTTCATTGATATCTAGAATCCATCCTTATATCTATCTATAAATACAAATTCTCATACATAAGTAATATATTCTTAAACTCGAATTGATTTTTCAAATCGATATTACGAATTTTGAATTTTGTTACGACGGCTATCTTCCACACCGCGTCACATGACTAAACCAAGGTAACGTGATTAAGTCACGTTATGGACCGCTGAGGAACGCTGGCTGTCCAGGACCGCGCAGCGGCCCTGACTAGCTATATGTGACGCCTCACACCTCCGGGTCACGTGGCATGCCCCGTTTGTATTTAATCATAGGAAAACTCTCTACTCTTGTTTTCCTTCTTCTTTTCTCCTTAGCTTAGTATTTTCTAATACAAGATACTTTACCCAGTATTCTTGAGTGTGACACTATAGGCATGAAGGTCTATATAATCAAGATGGATTTCCTTTGTATAAAGCTTCGTACTCAAGATCAATCATTTAGTATACTCTACTATTAGTTACGAATTGTATAACGTGGTTTATCATCGAGTGGCCCATATCATCGAGTGGCCCATATCATCGAGTGGCCCACTTTCACCTCAATTTACACTTTCAAACCCATATTATTCAACAACAATTGAATCAATTGATTGAAACTATTAAGAATCTAATAATCTAGGATCTATTACATTATTTTGACAGGTTCTTGCATTATGTCCTGTCTTTCCGCATTTACTACAACATCGATTAGAAGATGCTTCCCCATTAGAATTCCCCCCTTTTTGACGCTCATCGCGTTGAATCTGAATATCAACCTCTTGCTGAGATAATATATCAAGAGCCTCTTGTCCAGTGAGCACTCCTCCTTGACGTAATTGGGTTTTTTTCGCGCGTCGACGCTTGCTTAATGCTTCATTTGCTGTCCGAAGTGTACGAATCTCTGTATTTAAAAGTGTGTTTTCATGAGCTAATCTCTCTGTACCCTTAGCTAGAGCTAGTACAGTCTCGAATATAGGTGTAGGAGAGCTTGCTTGATGACGAGTTATTCGAGATTTAACTAATGTTGATTGAGAAAGAGCTTCAGTTGGGTTGCGAGGGGTTTGAGAGATCCATTGATCTAGGTCGAAAGAGGGGGGGGTAGGTGTGCGAATTCGAATATCTAATTTCGAGAGTACAGCTTCAGGATTAAATGGGATTAAACCTGTTCCTCGGAATCCTGATTTCATATTCTGAGAAGTGATTGATTCCTCGTATGCAGCTTTAAAAGCTATAAAGAATTCAACCTTCGAAATATGATTGATATGTGCCTTGATAAATCCATCAATTTGACCACCATATGAACGTTTTAGATTGCTAAAACAGCCAACATCAAGTGGTTGAGTTAAATGACTTGAATGCGGTGGTAAACGTAAACATATAATATCGTTCTCTTTGCAGTATGCTTGAAAAGCTACTGATTCGTGGCTTTCATGCCCATCCAGTACCAACATTCGATATTTGCCCTTTCTTCGATTCTTAGTATGCTTGTCGAAGTGTTTCAACCATTCTAAACCCGTCTCATTATTCGTCCACCTATTAGATGTAGGTTTAATAGCCCATTCCGCAGGAAGATTCGTTTCGGTGTACCAATTGGAGAGATGAACTTGTCCTTGAACTACTAGAAATGGGGGAATAGTTTCACCCTCTCCATTTCCGCATATTATTGCTGTAGCCCATTCTCGATTGCCTGGCTGTACTGTCTTGCTTCTGCCATTTCGTTCAGCACTAGTTACTACCATTGCTGCACATATAATCCCCATCATAAAGCCTGTTTCGTCGAAATTGTAGAAATCTCCGTCCAAAATGCCGTATTTCGCTCGCATATTCGCAACTAGTCGAAACCACTCTTCAAGAAGCTTAGGATCCTCACAGAGAGCTCTTTGAAAGTCATAAACACGACTAAAACGCGTCTTTAATTCGATTCGACGCTTTACGAATCGATGCGCCCAGAGCTTCCCAATGCGTTTCGCACCCCTCGATTCGAGAATATCATTCGCCATATCTTCCACATTCTTTAGTTTAGGTGGAAATCCTCTTAAATCCATATCGAGTATATATTGAACAATCACCTCTTCTTCTAATTCTGTAATCTTATGACGATTCGCTCGAGTTTCTGTACGAAGAGGTAAACCTTCCATTCTATGTCGAAGAGTCGTACGAGGAATATTATAGAGCATAGCAGCCTTTCGAATGCTTAATTTTTTATCTTTATGAATAACTTCGATAGCAAGGAGTATACGAGCTTCTTGATTATTCGAATTCATTATAGGTTGTTGATAAAACGCGTGTTGAAAGAGACAGGTGTAAATTGAGGTGAAAGTGGGCCACTCGATGATATGGGCCACTCGATGATAAACCACGTTATCATTATTGTTATTACTTTAAGTCCCTGCTTGACGCCTAGTTATAAACCACCTCGAGAGCCTAGAGCACTTCCACGTGATCTAGACGGCAAACCTCGTAACATAAATATTTCAGAACTTTATTATTCCCCAATATCAAATTCTTTTAAAATCTTATAATTCTTTTTTGAAATCTATCTTCTCGAGTATCCTCTTTATTATATTTATACAGTTCTTCAATAATTACATTCTTTCTTCAATATTTTATATTGTAAGACTTGTTTATAAAGCTAAAGGGAAGAGGAAGGAAGGGCAGGGGGGAATTCCTCATAACCTAATATAAGATCTTACAAAAAATCACAGAAATGTATAAATATTATTTCACAATACATAGAACATAGCACGACTTATATTATAATAAGTAAACAAAGCAAAGATCAAACTACAATAACAAGTTACAACAAAATAATCTAGATTCGACATCCATGCATTTCCATGGGAAAGAAAATCTAGGTATGGAAAGAAAATCTATGTAAGAAGAAAAGAAAAAAAGAAAAAATCTCTGAAATCTTCGAAACTATGAAAACGCCTTTTTTGCCCATCCTTCCATTCCCTCCTTCCATTCCCTTCCCTTCCCATCCCCCCTTCACAACAAAACAAACAAATATGCTTAAGCACCCTGCTAAAAATTGTAATTGTATCGCATCCATCCATCCTGTCGTGTCAAAATCCAAAATCTATCTGAGACTCTCATCTCTTTATCTCATAATCATCTACCCATTCTTAGATCGATCTGATGCTCTCTGATACGAAGCAATTCCTCTCCTCCCCAGGAAGAAAAGAAAAAAGAGGTAAGAGGTAAGAGATAAAAAGAAAAACATATGCCTCTCAAAGGCAGAAAGTAAGTAGTAAAACTTTTTCAAGAAAATTCGTATCCATCTTCATAGTAATTCCTCTACTCAATAGCGCTAGCGGAAGAATCACCCACGACAGGGTTCATGGAATCACTCCAGTTCATTCTGAAATCATCACCGAGTTGTTTTCTCAAGGCAGCTTGTACGGCTTCCAAAACATTGGGGAAGACACCGAAGTTTGCTGGGTTTTCCTCGTCGTTTTCTCCGCCTTGGAAGACACCGGTGCGGACTAAACAGGTGTTCCAGCCGTAGTTGTTTCCACCGATGATGTCGGATGCGGGGTTATCACCGATCATGTAGATGTTTTCAGGGAGCTTTTCTTCGCCGTGGATGGTTTCCATCCAGGAGGCCATGACTTCATCGGCGTATTTGTAGGTGGCTAATTCGGGTTTACCGTAGACGACACGCTCGAGTTCGACGCCGGTGATGGATTTATAGATGGCTTCGAGAGCGATACGGAAGGTTCCTTGAGACATACGAGGAGTTGGGTGCTCGCTTGGGCACAAGAGATCTCCTTGAGAGAAGTAGATGGGGATACGTTGGGAAACGGGGTCCTTGGCACGAGTACCGAGAACACCATCTTCGGATTGGAGAAGATCCATGATGATTTGGAGATCGGTGGCGTAATCACGAGAATCGGAGAAGACGAGGATCGCATCGATCTTGACCTTGCTGAAGTCTCTTGGGGTGGAGGTAGCACGTTGCTCGGCGGTAAAGAACTCTTTTAGTGGGGAAATGGTAGGGATGGAAGCGACAATATCGTTTGGTACGACGATGTCCTTGAATCCGTACAACTTTGCGACCTCTCTGCATTGGTAGTTTTCACCACCGACAACCAAGACGGTATCGTAGTATTCGGCCAAAGCGGACATAGGAGTGTGAGATTGAATGAATTGCTCAGTGGCAACAGGGTTTCCAAGAATCTTGGAGAGCTGAGCACAACGAGTAGGTTCAACCTTTCCAGAACCGTTGGTCAAGAAGATGTGTGGAATCTTGATACCGAGTTCATTATCACCGTTCAAAATCTCCAATGCTCTCTTTCCTTCTGGGATCAAACGATCACCATGAACGAGAACACCATCAATATCAAAAGCGAATGCCATATTCTTTGCAGCCTCGGTCTTGATCTTTGACATATCCTGAACCTGCGAGGAGAGAATCTCACGTGTTGGTTGAATGGATGGCATTCCAGGTCTTGAAGGTCTGTCCTGAGTGACGACGGAAGAAAGACGAGATTGACGCTTGGAACGAGGAATTGGAAGAGCAGCACCAAAGCTGTTTCTCGAACCTCTACGTCCATTGGTTCTGTTTTCGAGACTCAATGAATGCATGAGTCCTTGAGTTTCTGCGACGGAAGATCTCGAAGCCGGAACTTCAATTGGTCCAGAGTCATCATCACCTGGGACGACCAAGTTGTGGTTGAACCCTGGAGTACCATTTGAACCAGAGTGATCTTTTTGAGATTCGGTTGTTCCATTGGTGGCAGGCTGGGCTTGAGTAGCCAAATCGCTATCATCGAAACCAGGCATTTTGAAATAGAAGTTTGGAGTTAAAAAAAAGTGTGAAGGATTTGTGTAGAAGAGAAGGTTATGTGTAGACTATAGGTGGTATCGTTGATGGAAGTGAAGGAGAAGTATGAGATCCAAAAGTCAAAAAATGTGCGGGGCAGAGCGTATATATCTAAAAATTAGGTTCTTGAAACCAAGCTAGAGAATGAGTAGGAAGAACTTGTTAGGCAAACCGTGTATCGATGCCGATATTGAGGGAGGTGAGCTCATAGTACTGCATGATTGGATCCGTATCTGCAACGGAGTGTCGTCTTCACCTCGCCGAAAACATGCACTAGGGCCCACTATCATGATCCGTCAAAGTATATTGAAACATAAATACCTGTATCATCAAAGCCGTCCTTGACCGGCGTGGAAAAGTTTTGTATCAAAAGCGGATCCCGATAGATTATAGGCTAGTAGGTGGCACTACGTCTACGAATGAAGAGAAATAGTTTTCCAATTTTGATATTTGGTGCTTCAGATAAGGCAATAATGTGGGTATATTGTTGCATTCGTGAAATAAATTGGGTGGATAATTGATGTAGGAAGTCGGGAAAAGGGACCCAGCATGACGTCTAGAGGACCACAATAAAGGATATGAGAGGTGAGAAAATACGGAGTAGACACACAGACAGACAACACCGCAGTATGCCCGATTAGTTAATCATGGTTAGGTTGTATCTTTTATACCCTTTATACATACACCGGTGTTGATTAGTAGGAAAGTTTTATCCAGGGGATCCATTTTTTTATGTACTTCTTACCTATTTTTCTCAAGCGATGGCGATCAATATTGGATATCATGGCAGGAGAGGGAATGAAGCTTGGCACGAAAGTGATAACTTCCAAATGGACTTATGCGTTGGCTTTATTGTTGTTTCTCATAGTTGTCTCTCTTGACCAGGTAACATCAAGATATGTGCATCATGAATGGTGATATTGAGCTTGCTACAGTATGTACAGTGTACATATCCACCTGCTCTACCAATATCTAGGTATTTGGCGACTCAGGGTCTGTGATGAAGGGGAAGTTTGCCGGAAATAGAGTTTACCGGAATCTTGGCCTAAGCTCGGATAAATCTTTTTTTTTTTTGATTAGTAAGCGACAATCTCATCGAAATACGGTACAATAGCCGATCCTAAGCAGGTATGGTAACGTTATATAGAGTAGTTAATTAATGAGAGTACCGAGTGCCACCATACTGCAGAGGAGAAATGTAGGTAGTTGAAGGCAAAATCAAGAAAATTATATAATGGTAAAAAATCGTAGAAAATTCACAGAGCCTTCCATATTCAAACTATCACGAGAATTTCCAACCACATCACAGCCTTGAAAATTACAAGTTAATACGGAGTAGTCAATCCAGCGTTGACCGTTGTCGTTATACCTTGTAAGGTTGAGTCGATAATTGATAGACAGCCTTGGCCAGCCTTGGTAGCCTTCTGAAGCAAGCAAGCAAACAAGCAAGCAAGCCAACAACTCTAACCCTCAGACGCAACACCACGGAGACTACTCGTACGGAGAATAAAATAAAACCTTGGTTCCTGTTTTTCCTTTTCATATCCATTCACGGCCCTTTTACCATATTTGCTACAATTTATATTATACAGACGAGGAGGATATGAGGAATCAGTCAGAATCAGGACTAACAAACTACGTTACAATATTGCCAAGTAACCCACGCAGGCAAAGATACAAACTCTTCTTACGTACACTCCTTCATCATTGATATTTGCATCATCCTCGGACTCTTTCCTCAACATTCATTCGTTCATTCCCTTCATCGTACCCACTCTTTGGACCCTGACTCAAGTGGGGTTTCATGACTGTTAGCACGCGTTAGACAGAACCTTATGGGGGGCATGAGAGGGGACATGATACGTCATTTTCAGCACATGTTGAGATGCATCCCGAAAAGAAGTCGTGCAGTGCAGTTGCAGAGTTTGTATCATGACTAGAAGCTTCTGTTGCTACATGTCCGTATTGCTTAGTTCTATTACTTACATGTTTTAAGATAGGATAGACAGGAACAGATTAAATTATTCATCCCACCCATTTTTGAAAAGATATCCTCATTTTTCCACCTTTACTTTCAAAATTATACCCCGCTTCTTTACCCCTCCAACACAGCACAAAATAATCTACAACTCTACACAATATGGCAGCACCAGCAGTAACCGGTCCTTTGATCAAATTGAACAATGGAGTTCAAATGCCAGCTCTTGGTTTCGGTACATTTGCCAATGAGGGTAGCGTAGGAGAAACACACAAGGCCGTCGTGGCTGCACTGAATGCAGGATACAGACATTTGGACTGTGCATGGTTTTATCAAAATGAGGGTGAAGTCGGAACTGGTGTCAAAGAATTCCTGGCTGCCAATCCAAGTGTGAAGAGATCTGATATTTTCATCGTCACAAAAGTCTGGAATCACCTTCACGACCCTGAAGATGTTGAGTGGAGTTTGAAGAACTCGTTAGAGAAGCTCCAAACACCATACATTGATGCATTTTTGATCCATTGGCCCATTGCCGCAGAGAAGAATCAAGATAGATCAGTAAAGATTGGCGCTGATGGCAAGGTAAGCATATTAACTGGTTAAACTTCTGCGAGAGCAAAGATCTAACATGTGAATAGTACGTTATCAAGAAGGATTTGACAGAAAACCCAGAGCCAACATGGAGAGCCATGGAGAAGTTATACAAGGAGGGACTTGCAAAGGCTATTGGTGTCTCGAATTGGACCGAGAAGGGACTTGAACAACTTTTGGCATTTGCTGAGGTTAAGCCTACCATTAACCAAATCGAAATCCATCCTTTCCTCCCACAACAAAAGCTCATCGACTACTGTCTTTCCAAAGAGGTCGTACCAGTAGCCTACTCTCCATTAGGAAGTCAAGACCAAGTTCCTGGTACCGGTGAGAAGGTATCCACCAACAAAGAGCTCAATGCTATCGCAGAGAAGAATGGTGTTTCTTTGGCACAGGTATTGATCGCATGGGGATTGAAGAGAGGATATGCTGTTTTACCCAAGAGCAGCAACCCAGGAAGAATTGCCGGTAATGCGAAATTGATCACTCTCAGTGAAGAGGATTTCGCGGCGGTTAACAAGGTCGCAGAGGGAAGAGCGACGAGATTCGTTAACATGAAGGATACCTTTGGTTACAATGTTTGGCCAGAAGAGAAGTAATTTGGGGATTGAGCTGGTCTCATATCAGGCGTTAGGATAAAAATTAAGAAGAATACCAATTGACAGAATCCTTTGAAGTTTTATATTATTTTTTTGAGGATGCGTATGATTTCTTGGGTCATTGTCGAAGTCATCACTGAATATATGTGATGTGTTTGTTCAGACATTTCTGATGAGCCATATTAATGTATGGGAGATTATTAATTTGCGGGATAGGTACTCCCTAAATACCTATCTAGGCAATCTTCCAATCCTGCAGGATTAATAGCAACACTTTTCTCAATAATGGAAAATAATGAATCCTCATGGTGTAAATTTCTATCTCACATTCACAAATCTGACAACACGATCACGTGCCGTGATCAAATTGACTTTTCGCGGTGGCCATCACTACCCACCACCTACCTCTCAACTCCCACGAGTACATCTCGATTTTAAATCTTTCCACTCCTCTAATCTTCTACGATAACCTATCCATTAAAATATATACGTCTCGATAATATGAGTACTCCGTAATCTATTCAATCTATTCAATCTATTCATATATAATTCATCTCAAAAGATGATAATGAGAGGATTTCCCCATGACTACCTACTTAATTATTCAAATCAAAATATATGTCAAGATAATATGGTATTTTCTAGATCTGTAGGATTTATTTGCTATGTGAAGGATTTTTTTAGTGTTTAGTATTTAGTATTTAGTATTTAGTATTTAGTATTTAGTATTTATGTGACGGAAATCCCTGCTTTCCTCCCACCTTTATTATATAAGAAACCTCAGGTACATTAACCATGTCCACACATGATACGATTACTCGAGATTAGTATGCGATTTAGGTGACCTGAGGATCAGATCCGGACAAGTACTAGGTATCAATGGTTATCGGTAAAGTAAGATCATTGGAGGAATAAATATGACTTCTTTTTGCCTAGCCATTGCGGCTAGGCCATTCATTTGTGTATATATAGAGTAGCTATCCCCATCTACAGGTGCTCTTCACCTGTAGATTCTAAGTTAAATACAATTGCTGGTCTATAAACACCCTTTTGGTCACATTATCTACAGGTCATTATTATATTCGATTCGACTGAGGGATCAGTCGTTAATAAACATTCAAACCTCCCTCTCAAATTAATTCCAAAAGACGTTCTACACCTACCCGGAGGTGAAGCAAAAAGAACCTTTTGAAGGCCCCAATTCCGTGAGACGCACTCTCTCGACGTAAGGCTCTCCCAACCCCTTAAAAAAATAAAAACGACAAAATCGGAAACCACTTGCTACATAACAAGATGGCCCCTCCGAAGGAATCACCAGCCAACTCCCCAATTACCTCTAGAGTGAATACACGAAGCCGGAAAGGAAAAGAGAAAGTTCCTACCTTAACAGATCCTTTCGCTCGTTCTGGAGCACTACCACGATCTCCTCCACAACTAGAAGAGCAAGAACCACCATCCTTATCCGACGAAGACCCTAATGATTCCGAATTACCAGGACCACATCCCTTACCTCAATATTCTGCTACGGAAGCTTCCCAGCCCATCCCCTCAGATGCCTCAATGCAACTCGAGCTACGCAATCAGATATTGGAGCTCCAAAACGAATTACGTCGACGAGATGAAGCGGACCGATTACGAATAGCAAAAGGACCATTTCCACCAATCGTTCCTCCCGAAGAAACAGGACCACGCGCTAGGAAACACAGCCCCTTCCACCCCACTCCCGCGAGTGCAGGGCACGACCCGGATTACCCCGAGAACCAGGCCCTTCCCTCAATTGAAAAAACGCCTGCACCCGATCCCCGCCGCCCCATATCAATTCCCTTGTTATCAAAACGGAAAGTTGATTTCTCCGGTGGTCCAGGAAGAGAGACCCCCCAGGTTCAAGCTGTACGACAACAATCATTGCTAAATCCCCCTGCCTCATATTATCCAGAGAGACGCATTCCCAATCTTTCATCTAAACTCTCGGATGGGAAGGCTCCTAATATCCGTATACGTGCTTGGGAGAAGATGATCCTAGGCCACCTTCTCGATTACCACCATGATTTCCGATCAGAGAACGCACGCCGTACATGGGTATTCAATCAGACCGAAGATCGAGCCATGACCCTGCTCGAAGGTATTTACTTGGATGATGATTACGATGCATATGCACTAGTGGATCATGTCGTCGCTATCCTTACAGACCCAGCTGAGGTTGCTACCGCCAATATTGAATACAACGCTTTGCGTATGTCTTCAAAAGAACACTTTTGGGAGTTCTATAGTAGATTTCGAGATGTTGCTACTCGTGCCGCCATTACTGACGATGAACGATTGAAGAACGATCTCTTTGATAAGACCCAATATCGTTTAGTACACGACAACAAACAAGAATTCCATCAAGCACGCACAGTCGGAGAATATGCTAGAGCCCTGCAGAACTCTGATATCGCACAACAACGACTTGATGCCCGGCCCAATTATCAGAGGGCCAAAGCCCCAACTCTTGGCACTCGGAACCCTGGAACCACACTCCGCTCCGATCAACAACAATCCAGAACCTCCGGATTTGTCCGTTCGCCTCCTGCTTCATCGGCCGCCCGAGGAAATATCCCTCCGAATGCTGTCCTGCCTAAGCACGGCACATTCAACACCCCTAATATCCAATCCAATCGACAACCTTCTGCCTCTCGCGAGACCAATGTAGTAAGCTTCAACGAAGTCGATGAGGTCGCCCTTCTCGATGCCCATGAGGACTATAGTGAGAAATATGAAGATGCATTGGATACATTCACAAGCTCCGAGGAAGATCTCCCTCGATCAAAAAAAGGTCAACCATAAGCACTGTCTCGCTTATGGGATTCATAAAGGATATGTCAGGACTCGATTTACGCACCCTTCTTGGAGGTCCCCATATCACAGTACCTATCATGTTGGTACGTGATGGGATCGCAGTAAAATTCGATGCCCTGATCGATTCTGGAGCAAATGGTTATGCTTTCATGGATCCAGCTACGGTTAAACATCTGGACCTCCTCTCAAAAGCAAAAACGCGCAAGCTTCCCAAACCTCTATCTGTTAAAGGATACGATGGCACTATTGGGAAATATGATATTTCTTTTGTTAGTTATTTTGATTTACATATAGACAAGCGTATACAACGCAAAACCCCTTTTTTGATACTTCCACTTGGAAGTCATCGTATTATTCTCGGACGCCAATGGTTAGCTTACCATGACATCTGGTTGAACTGTCGCCGACGACAATTCAGGTGGCCTGAAAGCACCCCCCCTTCAGTTTCTTTTTCGCGATATATCACTATTCCTCGAAACTCTCTCCCTATCCAGAAAACTATCAATCGTTATCACCAATACGATGCCGATCGAAGGGATCGGAAGTTTGGAAAGGATATCGCAGCTCCAAAGATCAATTTGGTTGAATCTTTCGACCAAATCGACCAAATCGAACAATCCGATCCAATTGAACCCACTCCATTGATTGATCCCCAGCTGAGCCAACCAGATCACAATGATACCATTGCTTTAGAAACATTGGCCCCAACCATTTCATCAAAGCGAGGGAATACCCACGAGAAGTCTTTAAATAGAGATATTGTTCGAATGAATAAACTGTTGAAAAGCCCTGAGACTCCGCCTAAGCCCACTCAACCTTATCCTCGGAAACCACGTTTAACTTACCCTATTTCATCATGGGATACCCCTTCAATATTGGATATCGCTGCAATCGATGCACATATCTTTAATCGATATCTTTTAAAATCTACAGAAAAGGATCAGTTATTTACATGTACCTATCATGAGGTTGAGACCCTCCTCGATCAACGCTATGAGGAACAAGATCGCCATAATGAACTTGCTACCTTTGAACAAGCCCTTAAACGCTCTTCCAAAGAACGTAGCACGAAAGCCTTAGCCCTCCTAGCTATGTTAGAACCCGATGAACCTCCGCTTCCTGATAAATATCACGAATTCGAAGATGTTTTCAGCAAACAAGAGTCGGATATCCTACCACCTCATCGCTCTTACGATCATTCGATCAAATTGGAAGATAGAGCTGAGGAATCTTTAACCTATTCTCCACTATACAAAATGTCTATTGAGGAATTAGAGGTTGTCAAAAGATATCTGACCGATAATCTGTCTAAAGGATTCATCGAGCCAAGCCAAGCTCCCTTCGCTGCTCCTGTCCTCTTCGTTAAGAAATCTAATGGAAGTTTAAGATTTTGTATCGACTACCGCAAGCTCAATGCTCTCACTCGCAAGGATCGTTATCCTCTCCCTTTGATCGACGAGACCCTGGCGCGCCTCCAAGGTGCCAAAATTTACACCAAGCTTGATATTCGCCAAGCTTTCCACCGCATCCGTATGGATCCAGCATCGGAAGAGTATACTACCTTTCGTACTCGATACGGAGCATACAAATGCAAAGTTCTACCATTTGGTCTTACCAATGGTCCTGCCACCTACCAACGCTATATGAATGATATTCTTTTCGATTACCTCGATGATTTCTGTACAGCATATCTCGACGATATTCTCATCTATTCTGAGGATCCCTCGGAACATGATACTCATGTCCGTAAGGTTCTGCAACGACTTCGAGATGCTGGCCTTCAGGCAGACCTCAAGAAATCCGAATTCGATGTCACCAAGACTAAGTACTTGGGGTTCATCATCTCTACTACCGGTATTGAAGTTGATCCTGATAAGGTTGCTATCGTGAAGGAATGGCAATACCCTTCCACTCTGAAAGGTGTACAATCCTTCTTAGGATTCTGCAATTTCTATCGAAGATTCATTCCTAGCTATGGAGTGATAGCTTCACCCTTGACCCATCTAACCAAGACAAATGTCCCTTTTTCTTTCAATCAGGAATGCAAAGAAGCCTTCAATACTTTACGAGGTCTCCTCACCACTGCTCCCATACTCCGACATTACGATTACAAGCTTGAAAGCATGCTCGAAACCGATGCTTCCGATGGAGTAATCGCCGCT